TTATTTAGCAAGGATGCATTAAATTGATCAAAAGTGATAGTATAGACTTTTACTGTATGTTGTTACAAAAGCTCTGTTTCAAATACAGTACATGCTGTTCTTTTGAACTTCCTATTCATGAAAGAAACCTGAAAAAAGTGCATCACAAAAATATTAAGCAGCATAACATTGATAATAATAAATATTTCTTGAGCAGCAAATCAGTATATTAGAATTGTTTCTGAAGGATCATGAAGACTGGAGTTATGGAATTCAGTTTTGCCATCACAGGAATAACTGTGATGGAATAACAGGAATATTTTAAAATATATTTAAATAGAAAAAGAGTTATTTTAGATTGTAATAATATTTCACAATATTACTGTTTTTTCTGCATTTTTAATCAAATAAATGCAGCCTTGATGAGCATAAGAAACCTCTTTTAAAAACTTTTATATGCTAGTGTATGTAAAATCACATGAAATTAAATCACAAGGGGCCATTTGTGATGACAAGTGTAAACAATGAGTGACAGTAGTTGTGTGTGTGCATGCATGTGTGATCCTATAAGTGTGTGTTTGTGGGTGCAGTGGTCCTCTAATATATAAATAGACTTCTGCAGTCAAAGGCATGAATCATCTTTAGACAAAATGTGAGATGAGACACCATGTTTGTGGACTTGACTTGATCTAATGGAAATACATGCGTGTCCCACGTAACTCACTCATTGAACGTCACTCATTCTGACTGCTCACAGCCAAATGACAAATCCATGCTCAACAATATCACTTCATTAATACAATGCACACTGACATCGGATGAGTGTGTACATCCATGCGTATACGCATGAACAATGTTTACTCAAATGTTTCTTCCTTTAGAGCAAAACCTCTTTCTCTTGGACAGATCATTGAGTCAGCTGAGCAGAATCATCATGCAGTGTTGTCTGTTTCGAGAAAGAAAAATAATACTAGACCAAAACAATAATATTGTATGGTCTCTGCAGGATTCCATTTGCTCGAAATAGTCATTATTATTGCAATTTTGCTTGGCGCTGCGATGAAGTTAAAATATTTGTACTGGTGTATGATGCAGTACTTTTATCACAAATTTAATCAGTGCTGTGTATTTCCACACAGCTGTAGTTCCATACTGAAAATTTATTTGTGGAGTTGAAATGCTGGCTGTTCAATTTAGCTCCAATTTATGAAATATCAAGCTTTCTAGCCCCACACTTTTTTTACATTTAGCTCAAAAATGTTTTTGATGTGTATCCAGAAGCAACATGCCCACTCAAACTCCGAACTGTCTGATATCTGGACAATCTGATCAAAAAGAATCTAATAATTCTAATTGCAATATAGCGACTTCAGAATGGCTGAAAGATGCTTTTGAGCAGCAGAATAATTAAGATTTTTTAATTGAGATTTATATTTTTGAAAGAAGTCTGTAATGCTCACCAAGGTTGCATTTATTTGAGAACCAAGTCAGCATATTAAAATGATTACTCATTATCTATGATTACTTAGGTTCATGTGACTGCTGAAAATTCAGCTTTGCATCACAGGAATACATTTGATTTTAAAATATATTCAAACAGAAAACAGTTATTTTAAATTGTAATAATATTTCAAATTTTTACTGTATTTCTGATTAAAGAAATGCAGTCTTGGTGAGCATATGAGACTTTTCATGCTTTTCAAACTTAAAAAAAAAAAAGAATCAGTAATGCATATATAATCTTGAGAATGCAATAGCACAAAAGGGTTCACTTTACACTATAAATTCAAATCAAAATACTTTTAAAAATATGCATGTGAATGTAGACATCACCAAACTATAGAGTATGAAATAATGGCTGATGACTATTATTTTAATAATACAATTACATTTTTATAACTAAAATAATGGCTGATGACTATTATTTTAATAATAATTTTATCATTTAATTTTTATAACTATAGAGTATGAAATAATGGCTGATGACTATTCTTTTAATAATAATTTTATCATAAAATTTTTATAATTACTATTATTTCATTATTTTTCAAATTGTTTATTTCTCAAATAAAAACACTATTTTGTATAAATAAAAAATAAAAAATGATTATTATTTTAATGATAATTTTATCATTTAATTTTTACAACTATAGAGTATGAAATAATGGCTGATGACTATTATTTTAATAATAATTTTATCATTTATAAAATAGAAATAATAAACTATTTTATTTAATACACTAAAACACTTTTGTATAAATAAAAAAATGCTTTTAAAATGCTACAAGTTAAGTTCGGCATCACAAAATTAGAATTTGTTTGAGATTTTTTAATTATTAGTGTTTTTAAAAATTACCTTAAATAAGTGCTATCCAAATAAAAGGTAATACAAATAAAATAAAAACTGATGAAATGAGCATGTACAAACTGGCCAATACAGAAAAATAAAAAAATAAAAAAATATGGTACCAATACATATGTTTCCCCCCTAATACCTAACCAATGTAATATTTTAAAGCAGAGCAAAGGTTGAGAAAAGCACTGTGATGAAGGACTCCACTGACTGATGAGAATTTCAGAGAAGCAGTCCAGTCTTTGGAAATCCAATTTGCTTTACATCAAACTGATTTGGATCTTGGTACACCCTTAAAATGGATCTCATGCATTCCCATCCATTAAAAGTTTGGTCTTTCTCTAGTGTATAAACATCCTAACTTTCCAGCCCATGTCAGCAGATGAGGTTCATTAGTGCGATATTAAAAGGGTCAAGGACCTGCAGGAAGCCACTGGGGTCGTTTTCTTTGATAACTTCCAGACAGTATTCCATTAGTCCTGTGGTCTGCCTCAACTTCACCGTGCAGTGGGATATCTGATCACGAACCACCTGAGACAAAAAGGAGATAAAGAGGCAGAAAGAAAGAGAAAGAGAATGAATTCACGATAACTGTGCTGTGGCTAGGTTGCTAGGCAACAGCAGGACCAATAGTCTGCATCCTCTCTGAGCAGCAAACACATCACTGACCTTTTACAAAAAAACATTTTAAAATCCATTTGCACTTCATAACTGCATATTTTAATGGATGAATGTATGTGTCAGTGTGTGCCTCTCCAACTTCTACTTAAACCTAACGGCTATATCTCTTTTACGTGACGCACAACAGGTACACACTAATACACACACACACACACACACACACGTCCTCCAAAGCTGTAAATGGTCTCAGAGAGCATCTAACCACACTGAATGATTCAAACATAAAACACTTCACATGAGAGCCATTCAAATCCAAACAGTATGAGACAGAACCAGACAGAACTGAAGAAATGCAGTCTCATCTTGCAGAGCCTCTGGTCAAAACTAGAACCCCATCTTTGTAACCATGGGAACAGGCCTGTGGCACCATGGAGACAAGAAGGGAGAATAGGCCGATATAAGATGCCAGAAAAAAAGAAAAAAAAATCTCACATACTACTAACAGCAGGGGAGACCAGGACAATTTTAACAATACGTAATACAAGTCTCTGGTCTCCCCAGAATGTGTCTGTAAAGTTTCAGCTCAAAATACCCCACAGATCATTTATTATATCATTTTGAAAATGCCTATTTTGAGTGGAAGCA